AGCGCCCAGCACGGCTCCACATCGGTTGAATTGAGTCGTTCAAGCGTTCGATGCCGGCACGAGTGTACCCTCTCGACATGTCCAACATGAACTTTTCCCAGTCATCCGCTGGCCCCTGCTCCAACCTCCAAACACGGTAATCCTTGCTGGTGTCAAAGGCCATGTAACGGTCATCCCACTCGTTTGTTGTGAGGTGATGATACGACTTGTACCCCCATTCTTTCATCTTCTCGCTGGCTTCCACGAGGGGCATGTTGTGAACGATGGGGATACCCAACCCATGGTTTGGTCCCGGCAAACGCCAATCCGTCTTCGGGTCTAGCTTGAATTCGTTGCAAATACGTTCTATCATACGGGTTGTTTACTGCGTCCCATGCTTTGTCCTGTGGGAGCGGAGCGCTGATCTCTTTGAGGATACGTCTGACCTGGTAGTACCGAGGGAACGTGAACACAGACTGACTCAGCGGTCCCCACCGAGTGTCGGTTAATGTCAAGCCACACCCAGTCGTCGCACACCAGACGGTGAAGTTGATTTGATTCTGCCAGAACTGCATCGGGTTGTTGAACCAAGCGTGGACTACATTAGCGTTAGTATACCTGGTAAATACATTGATAAACTGGGCGCCGAAATACATCCTATCAGCGACAACGATCTTCATATTCGTGAAGTCTATGTCCATCTTAGGGTAAAACACTCCAGGCTTGTACATTTTTAAAGTATTATATAATAGGTATATATACTCTAACATGTAAGTAACACTTCCAGGAATAACGAGCGATGAGGCCATTCAGCTGATGCACGTAATCGATAACACGTCGGGTCAACTCGAAGTCGCACTCTGCGATATTACCTACCTACCGCGATGGACCAACATCAATGCCAGCAATAATAAGCTGTTCGTCAGTGGCGACCGCAACCAGATAACTGGGGGCCAAACTCAAGATGAACAACTCAAACGGCACAGTGGTGTTAACCAACAATGGAATAAACCCCTTGAGGCTCGGCCGACCATTGGCGAGGACACTCGTTATGCCGCCGGACGAGATAAAACGCACAACTGCCGTTACAGGCACGGAGTTACCCGACCTAGTACCGTACCGAGAGCTGTGCATTCATCTCGGTCAGTTGAGCACAACGGACAACATTCAAGGTGGTCACCCTCGGTCAGTTGAGCACAACGGACAACATTCAAGGTGGGCACCCTTCCACGATACTGAGAGCCGTACCGGTGAAAACGGAGAAATACAACGATGGTAGAACCGGCGTTTTCACCTGGAATGAGTTTGAAAAAATGCATCAATATCGGGGATCTAAAGCATAATCCTGTGGGATACACACGCTGCACATTCGACAAGGCCCCGGAATAGATGGTAATGCGGGGATCTGACCTACACCGGATTGCAGACTGAAAACAACATCTACAAACACGTTGAAGTCCACTCCGGTAGAACCCTAGGTGATATAGTAGATGTCTCAGGAGCGGCCCTCAACACCCGGTTCGACCTAGTCCGCATCGGTGATGATAGATGGGTGGTATCCCAATCGTTCGGAGGCAAACTGTTCGACTTTGAAGATGTTGAGAGCACGACCGTCGCCCGAAACAAGCCATATACGCTCGTCTTCACCGACGCGACAAGTGGGTGTTGTTGCCCTCTCGAGTGGATTGGTTTCTCAACATTAGGCTTGGCTCCCCCTACGTGTTCATGGAGAACAAAGACAACTACCTAAACAAAGTCGTGAACAACGGAACCCTGCTCGTGGCTTACGTCCCGGCGCAGAGACGTAGCGTAGTCGTCAGCCCAGTCTCCAGTATGGCGGCCCACATGCTGTCGAGCAAGCCCGGGATGCAAAACGTGGCATTGTAGTTGGTGTCTGAATTCGCTGGCGTGGTCAACATCCTGGAGAGCCTACAGGAGAACTCCACACTGGTCATCCAAGTCTACCTAGGTGAACCATCGCGGGATGAAGTCGAAATCGTGAAGGGGATTCAAACTCTGTTGGGTGAAACGGCACCAGTATCAGGTTTGCACTGTTTACGTGCGGGTGGGTGCAGACTCCCACACCAGTCTGCAGGGGGTCACCGTGACCGTGGAAGACACGATATCACTCACCAAGATCTTCCTGCCCGACAACATACACTTCATGGGGGTGAAGTGCACCCCTGAGAAATTATCAGAAAAATAATTGGAAACTATCTCGTAATAGTATTATAGCAATGTCCAATCGTCATCGGCCCAACGCCACACTTAACGATCTAGGAGACACGGAGGGATTCGATCTGCCCGGTGAGGAAGACACCTCGTACGTCCTGCACTTAACAAACGGCGTGTACGTGCGTCAGCCTCTGGCAGACGGCCTTAGAGAGCCCAAATGGTTGATCAACATGACCCTCACCGCACCTTATATCTCGTTAAACAAAGATGGCTATGTCTCCGAAATTAGGAACAACGGTACCTTTGTCGGGGTTTTCATTCCGGAGTCTGATGCAAGTGTCCAGCTAGCCCCGGGTCAAACGAGCAACATGTTACTTTCAGACAAAAATAATGAATTAAGGTTTTACGCCCCCGATTCCCAATTGAGGTTTATGGGGGTGAGACTACGCTCCACACTCATCATAGAAGTCCATTTCGGGGAACCCTTTATAGTTCAGCACTACCACTTTTACCCGGGTTGACAATACACTGGGACGCCATACACAGGGACCAACGTTGTCGTATTGTCATACAATAGACCCCTTAGTAAGCCTCCATAGGGTTCGTGTGAGAGCAGAGGGGCCTATTAGCCTCTCACCTATTTCCCTGCCTGAGAGTCTGCACCTTGTAAGTCTCAAATACACTGAGGAACAATTAAATAGCACACAATTAGAAATTATCTCATAAGATATATTATATGCACACAGGATGGGGTTGTACCCTGTCGTGTAGGAAGTAGCGAAGACACTGGAAACCGTAGACGGATTCCGCTTGAGACAGTTATGTGATGTAAAAAGCCAACTAGAACAAGACCGCGACACGTGGAAAGCACTATATAAGAAGTACCATAGAGCTTTCAATATCGTGGACGCGACTGATACTGCCCTTATGGCAACCAGCATGGGACTAGGGGCGGCAGGTGTTGGGTTGTTAGCCACCATCGTGGCCGCACCTATAGTGCTAGGCATTGAAATAACAGCTGGGGTGGTAGGGGTGGCAGGGTTGGTGTTTAAGTTTGCATCACGCAGACTGCATCATAAGGCATTGAAACACGACGAGATCAGGGTTCTAGCTGAAGCAAAGCTGAACACGATAAGTGAGTGTATTTCCAGGGCACTCACTGACAGTAAGATCTCAGAGGAGGAATTTCGTTCAATCCTTTCTGAACTCGACAAGTACCGTAAGATGAAACAAGAAATCCGGTCCAAGTCTCGTAAGTCTGCTATCAGCGAAGCCGAGAAAAAAAGTACATAGAACAGGGGGTATGAAAAGCCCAGCAAGCCTTCATTACGAACACCAAAGAGATCATAGGCGATTCACATTAAACTGTTTCATCGAGGTCAACATGACATAGAGCTATCACGATAGTTCCGCGATCGCGGTCATAGTGACACGCGTGGCACTATAGTGTCACGTGTGGCCGGGAAGTTAACTGGGGATTCAAAAGTAGTATATACGATGGGGGCGAGATCTAAGGGTCTGACAAAAGCTTTATTTGTGAAATAAAGCTTTCCAGAGGCTTTTGTTGGACTTGATCTCGGACTATCATTGTATATACTACTCAAATTAATAGGAAACTTATTGATTCCATGCCCCGTACCACATGGTCTTCCTCTTTTGAGTAAGAATATAACTAATTTTTACAGGTGAGGTGAAAAGTAGTTATGTTATGGAATAGATACTTATTGATTGCTTGACTTATATATGGTGACCCCATACACCATAGTCTTACTCTTTTGAGTAAGACTATGGTTACTTTTTATCAAAACTGTAAAAAGTAGCCATAGACTTACTCTTTCGAGTAAGACTATGACTACTTTACAGGGAGATAAAAAGTAGTTGTGTTATGGGTTTATAAAATAAATATTAGTTAGTAATGTATACTTATTGATTCCTTGCCTTATATGGGCTGGTCCCGTACCACATAGTCTTACTAGAAAGACTGTGGCTACTTTTTTACAGGGGAGATGAAAAGTAGTTGTGTTATGGATTTATAAATTAATATGAGTTAGGAATAGATACTTATTGATTCCTTGCCTTATATAGGCTGGTCCCGTACCCCCATTGTTTATACTACTGTCAAAGTGTCAAAATGATAACAAAGTAATTGATGATGTTCAAGTGGTAGTTCATCATATCATGGGAGGTACTTGGTTGAAATCGGGTCATAATACATTAAGTAAAATGACAACGATCTACATTATACCTCAACCTGGTTGAATTGGGGGCAATGAACCACGTCAAACGTAAAATTCGTTGTCTACATTTTTATTTGCTGCCGTGTCACTGGAACGTTTTTGCACATGTGCTGTAAACTGATTGTCTGGTTTGTTAACGACACAGCAGGAATAACGATATGCACGTATGCAGTTTGTGTAATGGTGGGTGCTACCGATAGAGCATGCCATGCATATCCTTTCCGTGTTATTGAATATGGGTCATTAATTCATACGTTTAAACCGACATTTTCCTCTTTACGCTCAGTGGGATCTGTTGGTGTCTTTTTATTTGACCGACATATAGCTGGAATATTGCTGAGTGCAGCGTAAAACTAAATTCACCCACTAAAAAAACTCAATTGTGTTGGGGTGGTGGGGTAGCCTAATCATTAAAGCGTCATCACGCTGAAGAGCTAGGTTCGATTCCCCTTATGGGTATAATGCGTGAAGACCATTTCTGGTGAAACCCGCTGTGATATTGCTGAAAGAGGTGTAAAGGCATACTCACTCACTGTGTTTGAGGATAGTTGAGACTGTTTATTCTCTGGTGTTGAATTTTAATATATTTTTGCATATTTATTTTTAGAAATGGCTCGTGATCGCTGGCTTCATCATCTGGACTACTTGATAACGCTAGTCGGTTACAGCGTTGGTGCCGGGACCTTTCTGAAGTTCCCGTACCTGTGTATGCGAAATGGTGGGGGTAAGTACAGGTACCGAGTGATAACCGCGTTAGATGGGGCCCGGGTTAGATGACATCACCATTGAGACCCGAGTTAGATGACGTCCCAATTAAAACCCGGTTTAGATGACGTACTCATTGAGACCCGAATTAGATAAGAACTAAGTTGAAACTCGGGTTAGATAACAACCAAGGTGATACTCGCATTAGATAACAACCATGTTGAGACCCGGGTTAGATAACAACAATGTTGGAACCCAGATTAGATGACGTCCCCATTGAGACCCGAGTTAGATAACATCCAAATTGGTACTCTGGTTAGATAACACCCGAATTGAGACCCTGGTTAGATAATATCCAAATTGATATTCGGGTTAGATAACATCCAAATTGATACTCGGGTTAGATAACACGGTTAAGTTGAGACTCGGGTTAGATAACAACCAAGTTGAGCCCCGGGTTAGAAAACAACCTAGTTGAGACTCGGGTTAGATAACAACCTAGTTGAGACTCGGGTTGGATAACAACCTAGTTGAGACCCGGGTTAGATAACAACAATATTGGAACCCAGATTAGATGACGTCCCCATTGAGACCCGAGTTAGATAACATCCAAATTGATACTCTGGTTAGAGAACACCCGAATTGAGACCCGAGTTAGATAATATCCAAATTGATATTCGGGTTAGATAACATCCAAATTGATACTCTGGTTAAATAACACCCGAATTGAGACCCGGGTTAGATAATATCCAAATTGATATTCGGGTTAGATAACATCCAAATTGATACTCTGGTTAAATAACACCCGAATTGAGACCCGGGTTAGATAATATCCAAATTGATATTCGGGTTAGATAACATCCAAATTGAAACCCAGGTTAGATAACACCCAAGTTGAGACTTGGGTAAGATTACGTCCCCAAGGACAAGTGATGATAGACTGTGTACATAGACTCGTGAGCAGATGAAATATCATGCTTGTCATTATCATATGTACTTTCTGTTTCAACAGGTGCTTTCCTCATACTCTTCATGCTGTTTACCGTCATCGGCGCCATTCCCTGTGTGTTTGTGGAGATGGTGATTGGCCAGTTCTCTCAGAGTGGCCCTGTCACAGTGTGGAACATGTGTCCTCCGTTTAAAGGTTAATCTGCTTATGTACTTGGTTTTGTTTGCATGACGGAATGTTTGTTTCTTTGTTTCTTTTGACGCCGCGATTTTCCAGCCGTATGCAATCGGTCTGGAAATAACCGAGCCACGGAGCCAATGTAGTAATTGATGTCTACGCAATTAGAATATGACTTGCATCAACCAAGTCAGAGAGTTCAGCAATCCAACCCGATTTGCGTGACTATTAAACCATATAAATAAAATGAAAAAAATATATCGAGTGCCGGTACCAAACAAACCAAAATGGCGGGCGCCGCTGCAGAAGCTTTTTCCAAACTTTAGAGCGAAGTTTTCAATTTGGAAACATTTTCAATTGATCTCCTGTACAATCACATCAGAGTCCTGACAGTGGCCAGTGGCATTCTTCCTAAAGAAAGGAAACAGTAATTTCATTATCTTAAACCATGTGTTACACTTTCACAATATATTGCAATACATATTGCTATACGCCAACACATATCACAATATATCGCAATACGAATATTTTGGTAATACCCAACCCTTGTGTTAGGTCGAGTTGGTTTATTCTGACCAATTTAAACACACAACCAGTTTTTCTCAAGCTTTAATATTTGGAAAACTCAAGCGTAATAAGTAAGTGCATATGCTTTATTAATTGAACACTGACCGTCTCAGTCGGTGATTCCTGACTGCTTAGCTCGTTGTAAGATTTGGCGACGGTATGTAAATAATCGAGACTGGACTAGACAATCCAGTGATAAACATCATAAGCATCGATCTACCCAGCTGGGAAACGATGACATCTGTTAACAAAATCAGGGGGTCTGACCTCCCGATCTTTGGAGGTTTTAGGGAATTTTGTTTTTTGCGTGCGTGCGTGCGTGCGTGCGTGCGTGCGTGACTGTGTGTGGAAAGCTACATGATTGTGGTATTACAGGGATAGGACTAGGGACAGTGGTCATCTCATGGACATACGCTACCTACAACTCAGCTATATTTGCCTGGTACCTGTACTACTTCTTCGATTCCTTCTCGACATACCTCCCATGGACGCTTTGCAGCAATGACTGGAACACGGCCACCTGTGTAACCCATGACACACACATCGGCGACGTCAACAACACCATCTCAACAAACATCACCGTCGGGGGCATGACAGCTGCAGAGGAATATTGGAGGTAGGTGACTTTCTTTGTTCGTTGTTTAACGCCGCACGCAGCAATATTCCAGCTATGTGGCGGCGGTCTGTAAATAATCGAGCCTGGACCGGACAATCCAGTGTCTACACAGTTTGGAAACGATGACGTGTCAAGTCTCAACCACGTCGTCAAGCCTAACCTTCCGGTCCCGTTACTCGCCACTTATATTACGACAGGCATGGGTTACTGAAGACAAAATAATTATCTTGAGGAGATGAAGGAATATTTTACAAAACCCCATTGGGGACACAATATTGTTCATGTTATCTTGAAAATTTAAGATTGTCTCTTGAAAACACAAGGTCATATCTGGGAGAGTTTAAAGCAGTAAACGAAGCCCTGGAATTACATTCATTGCTAAATTCAGTTTATCTTGTACTTTCAACATAGCATCTTGAATTTAAATCTTAATAGTCAACATTATTTAAATTTTCAAACAGTTTTCAAGATATGTGTACATATCTAAGATACACTAAGAAACGTTGACCGTCATTGGATTGGTGATAGTGTACGGAAGGTGGACGTCTGAGAAATTTCAGGGATTCATTCTTGTCCCTCACTCACCTACATAAAATACATGTATTGTCACCTTATGCATGTGACCTTTTTCGAAAAACCTTCCTTAACCCAGCATTATCTGGGTACCCGATTGGATGTGTCGTTGACCTTCTACGCCTCACATGAACAGATTGTGTAGGAATATAGATCATCCTATTCCGCATGCAGGTTCAAGGTGCTGGACATAACCGAAGGTTTAGAGAATCTTGCTGGGATGAGATGGCCGCTGGTTGGTTGTTTGGCAGTCACAATGTGCGTGGTCTTGCTGTGTCTGATATGGGGAATCAGAGTTTCCGGAAAGGTAATGTAATATTATTTGTATCAATGTGACGTCAAAACAGCACATATCTGATCGGCACATACTGGCGTTGAGACGTTACCACGAGACTATTCTACACATGACGCCAATGTGGATGGATACTTCCACATTACATGGACAAACCCTGACAATTCGAAAGCATATTTCAATTCAGAATTATCGCATCTGATCATTTAGATCCCAAAATTAAGTATCTGGCTATGTGTCCGAAATCAACATCTTCTCTTTGAACCAACACAGTGAATAAAATGAAGATTCTACAGCAATCTTACAATGTATCTGTTAGACATCAAATAATCATCTCGGAATGTTGGGCCAATTAACGTGCTACATTATTTTGATATATACTACTCACACTTTGCTAATGGTCACAAAAATTCACAACTTTACTTATACATACATTTATAATTTGAAATTGTATCCATTTAAAACTGGATCTATAATAATATGGTAACCCTCCTTTAGGCAAACAGCCACTTTAATCAAACCTTATGCACTTGATACATGAGTAACCATAAAAATTGTTTTTATGGCACCAATCAACCATTTTGTAAATCATGGAACGAGTCATTGACAAGTACACTACACCTGTCAATAGCAGGTATGTGATCCACAAGCTGCAGTGACATACTGAAACCTAGGACCCATGTTTACAATAAGCATAGATATTTAAACCAAATTAGACCCACATCATAGTTTTCTTTTGAATCAATGATTTGATCCTTAGCAAAGTGTGAATAGTATATTTGTTGCTATCAAACTTCAAATGTTTTCAAGAATTTTGGCAAACATACGCTTGTGTCGTCTCATGTTCTGTGGAACTATTTTTTTTCAGTCGTGTGGCTGATAGTGTAGAAATGACGTCACACATTGTTAATTTAATTATGTACTTGCCTGTCATCTCCTGCCCGCCCTGATATTTTATTCCGACGGAAACTATCAAAGGTTTTCTTGTCTCAATTTCCCCTACCACTGTAGATATTTATGCTCCAATGTGATAAAAAAGACACTTATACCCTTGCACACTCACGAAAAATCATTTCAAATCAAGTTTGACTTTCGTCTTTTATATTTATTAAAAAATGTTTCCAAAGAAAATCGACTCGAGCTGTCTCAGCTATTGCGTGAACTAAGATCTGATTTAAATAGGACTGCAGTTCTTATCACAGGATCAGTTGGGACAGGAATTAGGAGATAAACGTACTGTGTTGGGAAATTAGATGCATGTTAGGCAGAATTGATAGTCTCTAAATTTCATTTGGAACCGAACGCGTAGCGTTATAGACTGTGAAGCGGTCATGAAATCAGACGAATTTTATATCCAAAATTGATAGCGTCTAAATTTATTGATTGACCAATCAAAATCGAGCATTTCACGTAGCCATGGTAGAATACAAAGTTAACGGTTAGCCCACTGCAGCTCTAAACAACATTCGCTCACCCTTCCTCTGAGTTTAGCTGTAATATATGGATGGTTGAACGGTCATAATATCTACGATATTCTTTAAGTGGCAAGTCACCCAAAATGATTTGATCATTAAAGCTTCATTATCAAATGCAAGTATTAAAGTATATAACCATGTGTTTTTTAAAAGATTGTGTACGTCACCGTGGGTGTTCCATACTTGCTGAACACGATCTTCCTGATCCGAGGCTGCCTGCTACCAGGATCTGCTGAAGGAATATACTATTATATATACCCTGATTTTGAGATGCTCCAGGATCCGAAGGTACGAGTGTTTGAGATTGTCAGTTAAGGTAGTATTTAAATTCGAAAATAAAAAGCCGTTGGTTGAAGAAAACGTACTGTATGATTTCATGATCTAAGCTTTTTCTTAAGTTTAATGGCAGTTTAAAATCAGTTTTAAATACCTACACACATGATCTACACGATTGGTGCTCGAGTAGTGTACCCAGCAGTTTATGTTTAACGTAAGAGCCTACTAAATGTATTGGTGGATTGCATGTCATGTTACTCCAATATCTGTGACGTTGAATAATAACTCACTCACTCACTCACTACTCCAATATCTTGGATAGATGCTCATGATGTCAATCACTGGGTTGTCAGGTCCAGGGACCCGATGCACAAAGCGCTCTTAGCACTTCATCATTCGTAATCCTTGGTAGATCGGGACCAAGGCTCAAATATGTAAAGACAATGTTGCAGTCAGCTATTGCTACTTTGTAGATATGGATGGAGGCATGTGCTTACTCCTTCTACTCCATGGGGATCGGCATGGGCTGCATAATCACACTGTCTGGACACAACAACTTCAAGAACAACTGTTTCAGGTACATCGTCTATTGGTAGTGACCTGGTGTGTACTAGAACCCGTGAAGATCCTGGATATAATTGATACGTATGACGTACATGCATTCCGGATCCTTCCCGTGAAGAACCGGGTTAGAATCGATCTTCAGCAACCCATGCTTGTCGTGAGAGGTGACTAACGGGAGCGGTGGTCAGGATCGTTGACTGTCATATGCCATTGTAAACCAAAAGTCACTGTGTTCTTTAATCTGATTGGTTGAAAAACGTGATCAAATGGTATTCGATTCCCGGAAATTCGCTGCGTATTAATACATACAAACATCGCTCACACCATTGTATTGTTACGTCGTCAGCTGAGATGACGTCATTCAAATCATATTGTGACGTAAAGTCCGAATGACGTCACAAATGAGCAGTTCTAGATGCTACCATGGGAGACAGCCGAAACGGCCGGCTGATGACATTGCACTGCTGTACCCGTACTCGATGTCAATGAGTGCAGACACAAAAACGTGTGTGGACCTTTTGGTTTACTTTTGTGTTTACAATGTCGATAAACATCATGTGTTGGCCAATTTCCGGGTGTTATTGAGTATTTGAAGCACGGGAATTCATTTGGAACCGACGGCGTCATGGTATGGTATATTCCTCCTAATTAATACCGAGCGCCAACGATGTTTTGGTATATCGCGGCGTGGGATTGAACCACAGACCTTCTGCGACTGCTCCCTCTTGCCAAGAGAGAGGTAACTGACTGTAAGTGAGTGAGTGAGTTTAGTTTTACGCCGCACTCAGCAATACTTCAGCTATATGGCGGCGGTCTGTAAATAATCGAGTCTGGACCAGACAATCCAGTGATCAAGAGCATGAGCATCGATCTGCGCAATTGGAAACCGATGACATGTGCCAACCAAGTCAGCGAGCCTGACCACCCGATCCCGTTAGTCGCCTATTTCGACAAGCATATTCGCCTTTTGTGGCAAGCATGGGTTGCTGAAGACCTGTTCTACCCCGGATGTTCACGGGTCTAAGTGACTGTAAGAGTATCCACATTTCATGTCATTTGCATTTGTTTCACATAGACTGGCGGAGTCCAGTCATGACGATCGCTAATCCAGATTTTTGTTATAGTAAAACGGGTCTTACTGTTCAAGTTCAAGGCGAGTAAAGACCTTTATTAAAAACGTGAGACCAAAACCTGCAGACAGATGTTTATCAGACAGATGTCGACGATGTCCTTTGATTGGACTATGGACGACTGTTGTTATATGTTTGTGAATGTTATTATTGTTATTATGATGATCATCGGTAAGTGAATGTTAGGTAACATCATTATAGACCTCAAGCACGGAGGCCGTTGTCTCTATATTCACAGGGACTCTATAGCCATGTGCCTTACGGACGCTCTCACTACTATCTTCGTGGGGTTTTCTGTCTTTGGTATCATTGGTCACGTAGCCTATATACGTGGACTTGATGTGGAAGCGTTCCAGTCATCAGGTGAATAGGTCCTTCAAGTAAATAACACTGCACGAAATATCACATTTACAAAAGTTACAAGATTGTATATTTAGGCATACACTTATGTTTATGTATGTTAAACTAGACATAGATTTATTTGAAGGCAAAACATGTCATGTTTTCAACCATTAACTTATTTGAGTGGCTTAAAAAGCTGGTGTGATGAACAAGGGGATAATTCTATGGATATACAACTTCAATATATGCGATATTTCGGTCCAGATGTTAGAACTTCAATATATGTGATATTTCGGTATAGATGTTACAAAAAGTTGTATATCCATAGAACTATACCCCTTGTGTTTCAATAATTAGCCAATAATTAGCCATGTGACTACACGATTGTAGACGGAAGCATGCACCGGTTTGCTTATGTCTATTTCCAAGCATATACAAGAAAGAAAAGGCGCATCATTTGTCCGGTGATATCGTCAGTATGCCCAACTGCATCCGGAGCTATATAACACCAATATGGATGCATGGTGCCAATGTTTCACTGTTAACACGTTGTTGTTGTTTTAAAGTAGTTTAACACTTCAGAACAGTTCAAGATATGTTCATAATTTGCGGAAACATTAATCTCACATGCATCTGCAAATTGGTTATTGATAACCTAGTATTTTTCTGTAGGCCTGTTGACCGGGTAGTGTAACATTAATCCGAATGGCTTCATTTCAGGGTTCAACCTAGCCTTCATCGTGTACCCCGAGGCTGTGGCGGCGCTCCCATGTCCACAGTTGTGGTCCGCACTGACCTTTCTCATGTTGATGTCCTTGTTGATTGACACACTGGTAACAACACGTCTCTGCTAGTGTATTAGTCGGTGTGTGTGTGTGTGTGTGTGTGTGTGTGCGTGCGTGCGTGCGTGCGTGCGTGTGTGTTAGGATATTTATCTATTCGTATACAATTATAATTTATACACTGTTTTTCGTTTTAATCCGAGAGACCACTTTCTGTACACTTTTGTTAAAGTAGGAGAATGATGTTCACCTTAGTGCTGAGATCGCTTTCTAGAACACACCCTAGACGAAAGCAAGTGAAAACATTTGTCTTTGTGCCAGCGTCAACTGTACGAATATCTGCAGTTTCACAATCGCATATGGAAATACGTGTCATTCGTGTCCCTGTAGTCTACAAAACACAATAGGATTAGAAAGTCTTGGGCTGAAGCTAGCTTCTGCTTGAATACTACATTGTAGAACAAGGGCGCTCGGTATTCAGATATTAAATAAGGACTGGAAGGCAGCGTTCGAAATAATCGCCGGCCCTGAGGCCTAGCGCCGGTTGTTATAGTATCGGACCGGCAGTTTCATATATGTGCAGGCCCTTGTGGCCTTCAGTAAATTATCTGTCATGTTTTTCAACTGGAATCTTTACCATAATTGTTTTCTTTATTAACGTTCGGGAATCATCCATGATCCATCATGTTACGATAACTTACAGTTTCAAGTCCTGGTATGCCAGCGCTTTGCGCATAGGAATAACAACACCAGTCTTTTAAAAATACAAACTTCGTTCATCGCCATAGGCTTCGTTTATTGATTTGTAGAAACTGTGTGAAACTGTGTACAGTGTAGTCTATTTTGTTTTTATTGGTTTGACTTAAACAAAATGGGCCTGCAAATTGCATTCAGGGCCTGTAGATGTTAAAGCCTGAAGGCGGCAGCAGGCCCTGATGGCCAGCTGACAAATTAAAGCATTGCAAACACTGGTGGTAGGCTCATAGTCTGTATTCTGTGTCGGAGTGGAGTGTCCATTGTAAACTGCAGCCGGCCAGTCGGAACCGTCCTCTGGCATCAGCAACAGATAGTTCCGCATGTGCACAATGTGAAGCTCATTTCTGGTGTCCCCCTCAGTGATTTTGCAGGAATATTGCTAAAAGGGGCGTAAAACCATACTCATTATCATCCCAAAGGACAATGTTTGATCTGCATAACCATATATCTTATAAAGTGCGCTGAGTGTGATTTGCTGCTCTTAATATTTAAAACATTGTTCAGTTTGATTATATTTTTATATATTTAGATACCGAGCTTTGAGATAGTCGTGACGGCTTTGACAGATCAGCTTCCAGGGTTGGCAAAGAGAAGATGGGTCGTCGTTTGTTCAGTGCTGTTGTCTTCCTCGTTGGTTGCTCTTCTGTTCATGACTCGGGTAGGCATTTATAGCTAAAAACCTTTTTTTTAAATCAGTTTCATGTCAACCCACACATCATAATGAGAGCATTCGACGAAAGCACGACAGCCTTGGAATGTAGTCTGACCATCGTGTTATAGACCAATTAATTCTTGAAAAACGGAGCATAATCGGACATAATAGGATCACATCAGATTAAATTTCCGTCGTTTTCACAAGTTTTTTTCTAGAATGTGAGCATGTCAAAGAATTCTGGCTGAGTGTGGACTTATACTTGAACTCTTTTGTCAATGAAGTAAAAAATGTGGACACTTGTGCTATTTTGTTTGGTTTCCCAGCCAAATTTATGTTAATTAATCACTTACTCCTGTTATGTAAAAGACATGTATTATTAAGTAGTCTTAAAAGGACAACCCTTTCAGTTGAAAGTGATAAAAGACTTCAAACAGATATATTCTACTGAAAAATAAACTTTATTTCCCGCAAGAATAATAAAGGGGTTGCGTTTAAAAAAATGGCTTCCCCTGTCAGATATTTATGAAGAAGTCACTTGACTTCACGTTTTTTAAAAACATTATATCTCGGTTTGATCATTTATATATTATGTTTTGCGTCTGTATGATCTGGTTGTATAGTTATGAACAGTTTAATCTAATTTTATCTCCCTTACATTCCGTGATTTCTGTGTCATTCGCTTTGAACAGTTTTGTCATAACCTTGTAATATTATTCATATACTTTGACAGTGATTTGTTATGCAATCTCAATTTAACCCTATTTGTAAGGCCTACTGCGTCAAAACTATTTGTATGAGAATACTGTCCTTGTTTGTTTCTCTGTATCTGAGAACTATTGCTTATACACTTCTCATTTCTAACCATTGACTCTGAATACAACAATGCTTGTAACCTGATTTGCTGGAATAAATAAAAAATTACGTCGTTTTTCCGGCCGTCATCTTCGTACTTGCATTATGATGCGACATGTGTATTATTCCATTAATCTGTAAAAGAAAGTGTGCATTAATTTTTATACCCATGTTAGGTAAACTTTTATTCCTTTTACATCACCTTCCAAAACATTTAAATAGAATTTGTACTTAAAACAAAATCAAGTTCATTGATCAAAGAAATGAGCTTTGAGCTTCATACAGCGGAGGAAATAAGTACTACATTATTAGAATAATGTCAGGAAACGTTAGGATATTTTTTCCCATTTTTCAGGGTGGAATATACGTCCTAACGTTGGTGGACTGGTATGCTACATTCCCCTCTCTTGCTTTGTTCGCAACGATGGAATGCATCGCCGTCAATTTCTGTTATGGTATGGTTGTTGTTGTTGTTCTTCTTCTTCTTCTCCTAATCCTCCTCTTCCCTCTCCTTTTCTTCCATCTTATCTCCTCTTTCCGCTCTTCCATGCCCTCCTGCAACAATGAAATGCATCGTCGTCAATTCTGTTATGGTATGGTTCTTCTTCTTATCCTAATCCTCCTCTTCTTCCATCTACTTTTCTTCCATCTTACCTCCTCCTTTTGCAACAATGAAATGCATCGCCATCAATTTCTGTTATGCAAGTTTGCTATTTGATGCTTAACCAATCAACCTCTTCATGTGGTACAAATGTTGTGACGTTTGTTCAGGAACACAACAGCTTCAACAAGACGTACAAACTATGTGGGGAAAGACCGCACCTCGATGTATCAGCATCTGCATGCGCTTCGTGTGCCCACTGCTCTTGTTGGTATGTATACTGTTTACTGTTATATACCTTTACACCTGTTTGTCCTTACAAATACATTGTTTGTCGCTAATATTTACAGACTTGCTACGTGAACCTGCCTTCATGATATGGGGATGTATACGATGGGTTGGGCTAGTAACTATGTTAGAAAGGACGGGTCTGCTCTGTTTGAAGTACATGTGTCAAGAATGATTAGTTCCCAATGGAATTAGTTCCGCCAGGAACATTATATAATTCGCGCAAATCTATCTCTCCTAGTCAAATTGAGGACACGTAAGTGGAACCATTTTGATTTGGTTAACAAAAAGCAATTTGTATATTTTAGGTCCCGATTACATTATAAAAGAGTGTAAGGGTTAGGATTTAAGTTATGGTTAGGGTTAGATTTACGGTTGCCAGCACTAGGAAATATATTCCGGACGATAAATCACTGGGGAAAATACGCCAGATAAACCAGCACAAAGGAAATGTTCCTTACTGGACCAGAACCTGTATGGCACTCGGCTATGTAATTTCAAAAATCTGTCTTAAAAAGTTTCATTACACGAGAGTAACATGCATCATGCTGTATATAAATTCCTCAGCAGTGACGGGCATTGGGGGGCTTATTGGCTAAACATTCTCTCGTCATGCCGAAGACCCGGGTTCGATTCTCGTCATGGGCACATTTCTTGTGCTCCTGGAATTTGAGCTAAAGCGGCGTAAAACCATAATCACTCCTTCTCCCTCTCTTTAATGAATTAGCTATCACTGGAATATACGGCACCGCTTCCTTGCGTTGTTTGCAGAGGGGAATTCCATTGTGACATTTCAAAAGCCAGGATGTGACTGTTATTGGTGTTTTTAAACTTCCTTAGACTGACGTCAGTTTAGACCCAAAAATAATGTTATCGTATTAAAAAGATCACTCACCCTGAAGAGCTGGAATCTGCTTTCGGCAGAGCAAAACAACACACGCTGACATTACCAACTTTGAATATTTGAATATTGCTAAAACCATACCCACTCACTTCTCAGTATTGTTTTTTGTGATAAAACTGAATAACAGGATATTATTGTTTTGGTTTTTTTTCAGGTTATTTTCACCTTCTCTCTCTACTCGTACCGACCTCCTCAGTACGCTGAGTACGTCTACCCCACCTGGGCCACCGTCGTGGGCTGGATGATTTCCATGGCCTCCATCCTTCCCTTCCCCGTCTTCTTTGTTTGGACAGTGTACCACACAAGCGGAACCACGGTCGTAGAGGTCAGACCCTAACGCTGTGATATTCTTGGGGTAACCGTTACCTGAGAGGCGTGGGTGGGACGTTAGGATATATATTCCATCATGAAACACCTGGTGTGGCAACCCTAAGTCTTACTTTTTACGTAATGAAACATAGTTTTCCTTTTCACAAACACCTGGTGTTATCACAATTTAAAGCAACAGTGCCAACACTGAGTCTTACTTTCTGACTTTCAGTGATCCATGTACATATTGAACGTCGGTGAAAGAGAATACCAAGTTTTGATTATTCTCAGAAACTAAATCCCTTTGATGTAAAGGGGAAAATAGCTGTGAAAATTATTTCAGTTGAACAGTGGATCAGTTATAACAGCAGTTGTTCGCGAATTAATAGCATTGTTACAACTGTTTGTAAGGTCAAGTTGAATCTCTGTCGAATTATTGACACCGTCTCTGCCTAGGCGTTGATGGTTTATGTTAAAGAAACATCCCACCTAATTCAACCATTTAATAGTCGACAGTGGGTGCATAGTTTGTCCTTATAAGTTATCATAAACATCAGTCTATTAAGTTTGCTTCAATACTTATGTGTTCCACATGGTGCATACATAAGTTATGTTGTATACGTAAGTTATGTTATATAGTAAGTTATGTTGTATACGTAAGTTATGTTGTGTACGTAAGTTATGTTGTATACGTAAGTTATGTTGTATATAGTTATTTTGTATGTAGGTTATGTTGTATACGTAAGTTATGTTGTATACGTAAGTTATGTTGTGTACGTAAGTTATGTTGTATACGTAAGTTATGTTGTATACGTAAGTTATGTTGTGTACGTAAGTTATGTTGTATACGTAAGTTATGTTGTATACGTAAGTTATGTTGTATACGTAAGTTATGTTGTGTACGTAAGTTATGTTGTATACGTAAGTTATGTTGTATAAGTTATGTTGTATACGTAAGTTATGTTGTGTACGTAAGTTATGTTGTATACGTAAGTTATGTTGTATACGTAAGTTATGTTGTATACGTAAGTTATGTTGTATACGTACGTTATGCTGTGTACGTACGTCACGTTGTAAACCAAATTTATGTTGTATACGTAAGTTATGTTGTATACGTAAGTCCTGATGTATAGGTAAGTTCAGGGAAGGCTAAGCATGTTTTGGTGTATATTTCATTCAGCACGCGTATATGTAAATATATACAGTCAACGCCGAAACTGGTGCCCATTATCCAACGAAACAGATATAGCTGGGCGTAAAATGCAAACAAGGGATAAAATCATGTGAATTAAAGATAAAAGAAAGATTAAACATACGGTTTAATATTTCATTTTCATTTGAATTATATTACCAAGTAATTGAATTACTGAGACAGTAAGTGATACGATAGTTAAATGTTTCACATTCATCTTCCCAGTTATCACCTTTTTCGTGAGGCGTGTGAATGGAATTTTCAATTTATATACTACATTACCCCTCTTGAAATATAGTCCTGTAGTTAATTCTACATTACTAATCAATGCTGTCTCTTTGAGGATCAGATGACATTTATATAACAGGGTTAGGGTTAAAATCAAGGATAGGGTTAAATTTGCGGTTGCTAGTATTACGGTTACTGTAAAAGAACAATTTACAAGGAGATTTAACCCGGACCGTAAAAGTTCTGTAGCCAATATTCTTTATTACTAATTAATGCTGTCTCTTATTTTTCAGAAACTTGAAAAGGCGATCCGTCCAAACAAGAAATGGGGTAGCCGAATACAAACTGATTACGAGAATCAGGACGTTAACTTCCCAACCATGCTGCAGGAGAGTTTGTGAGACAATACAGAAGAAAATGCGTAGAAAATGTTGTCAGTGTCGAAACCGATACCATATACTGTGACTGCTACACCTGGACATATTAGTGGTCTGACGATTCATCGATACGCATCGATGCATCAATCCATGGGCCGCCGATACAGTGAATCGATACAAACTTTTACATTTTCGTATATCCCGATACGATACTTCAAATGGGCCACGATACATCGATGTTTAACTTTGGATATTGCCGAATCGCGATATCTGTCAAGAAAAAAGACTTACTTTTGTTTGATGATTAAAATATATGCTTACTTATTTTCCCTTCATAAGTAAACGGTTTCTCGGAAATTCTTGCGTCAAGAACTGTGACAGACATAGCGCTCGCATGTTATTAACATTCACAAAGTCCGTGTATAAACTTAACTTTGATGAAATACTTTAAAATGGTTTTGTTTTTGAATTAAGGTGTTTTATAGTTGGTGTTGGAATTAAAGATTTTAGTATCGTGATACGTATCGTATCGCGACCCTTATATCGGGATTCGTATCGTATCGCAGCTTCACTGCACAATACTTTGGCGATATATCGTCGTGACTAAAGATTTTAGTATCGTGATGTATCGTATGGCAGGTTGTATGCTTATACCAGCGTTAGGACATATACCATCATCGTTTTGTTTTCAGTCCGGTTCAAATGACAGGACGCTAAAAAAGCCGTCCAATCAATTTCCATGAAGCACGCGGCACTGTCACCCGTATTTTCGTCGCCTTCTTGCATGATATCTGTGGGAACAGATTTTAAAATAAGCACTTCCCTAAGCACAGGTCAGGGGTTCAGTGGTTAAAGCGTTTACTCGTCACGCCGAAGACTCGGGTTCGAATCTTCACATGGGTACAATGTGTGAAGCCTATTCCTGGTGTCTCCCGCCGTGATATTACTGGAATATTGCTAAAAGCGCCGTAAAACTAAACTCACTCATTCACCATAGCTTGCTGAGGCTGTGAGACGTATTGGTCACGGATTCCTCCCAATTTCCTGCATGCCAATAGCCCCGAGGCGCCAAATAAAATCACGAAGCAAGTACGAAGACGTATGGCACAATTGGCCACTTGTTATAAAGATGGCTTACTAGTTGCATAAGTAATCGTAGCCAAAACGTATTTGTGAATGGGCGAAATATCCAAACTAAAACACACGAAGCCTGACGTGCCGCTGGGGTGTGTGCTTGGTCCTTTACTCTTTATTGTTTGTATAAAGGTTGGTCGGTATGGCTGTTGTGTAGATCCGCACTCACTAACAATCAAGTTATATGTAAATACTCGGGTCTTACAACAAGCGTGGGTTACTGAAGATTCTCACCCGGATGTGTAAAGGGTAATGATATTGCTGATGTATGAGCCTATATGACATGACTTCGTACTTTGTATATAGAAAAAGAAATAAAACATCTCACATACAAACCTGAGATACATGCGTTATTAATCAATTAGATAACAATTAAATTAATTAATGAAATATTTTATACAGAATTTGTATCGCTCACCTATATTTTAACACCAAGAAACATAATTTCCGTCTCAGTGTTTCGAGTTGATTGAATATGCCATGCTAAAAATTCCTGAGACTGTGCAACAGTGATCGTTTTGGTCACAGCTGGAGCTTTGTTTTCAATTTCCAACATGCCAATAACCCCCAATGGTCACCATATATGCACAAAAAGAGGCGAGTGATCAATTGTATGGCAAGCAAGAGCAATACTTGAAAATGTTGAACTAGTGTCACCCTCAGGACGAGTGTAGCGCTACTGTCGTGTATATATCTACGGGATATATTTTGGTGTTAAATTTTACAAACCTATACCTTCTTGCATATTTTATTCGTTGTCAACACTGGCCTACCTTATCTTACTTTGTTTGTATATTTCAAGAGTTTATTTACTTTCTTAAAATTAGTAAATACCAGGGAAATGGCAGTCGTGGAACTTGTCACCAATCTGTTTCACTTCGTGTGAAAAAATATGCTTAAATAAACAAAGACCTGCCTCATTGGTTCATTCATCAACCTAAAACGTCGCGACATAGCTGGAATATACTTAAAGCGGCGTAATATCAACTTAGTTTGCTGAGAATATTTGGAAAACAAAAACCTACATCATGGATAATCTCGCGATTTCTTGTCGTCGTGTAAAAACACGTGAGTGCACGTGTTGCTACATGGATTCACAGTGCTCACGTCGGGTTGTACGTTAATGCTTTCGCACGACATGCAGTGTGGCCCTCTAGCCCGAGGCTAGTAAAAGTCCATTCGGGCCAATGGCTAGTGAATTTTCATGGGGCCATTTTGTAGATATATCATCCTCTCCGACTTACGGATTACGTTATAATACACTTTTAAATCATGCACGATTATGCACTGATAAAAATGTTCATCATATTAGCAGCTTAATGATGAAACCCTTGTCATGCTGACAATATCTTATTCGCATCTATTTTTGTAATCATTTGCTCAGTTTCTACATTTAAATTTCGGGCAAGTGAATTGGTATCGTGGGTTGGTATCTTGTGAATTGGTATCTTTCGTGGGTTTGTATCTTGTGGGTTGGTATCTTTCGGGCGTAGCTAGCCCGACTGGCTAGCACGATTTGGAAAGTATTTCCATGTATGGGTGTCCTTGGCTTGGATTTCTCAGAAACAAGAACTATTCTTGTTTGTTTTTACACAACGTTTCAAAGATGATGAGTAAGAATATACTCCGAAACGTCGTGTTCTTCTCAAAAAAGAAGTTAACATCCTTAAATGCTTGTCATTTATGGTCATCTGACTTAGCATTCAAACGAAATAAATATACTGAACATCATTGAAAACGCACCACTTATAAAAGTTCAGATTATTAAAAGCACGTGTAAGGAATTGATATTCTTTGGGTGGATAATAACAGATGGACGACTGACAAAAACACCAACACAGAAAAGACGCACATTCATTGAAATGTTCTACAGTCAGAAAGGATCAAACACACGTGGGGTCAAATCGAAAAGTCAATATCGCGTGTGACCGCCATTTGCTTTGACACATGCAGTTCAACGTCTCCTCATTGAGTCAATAAGCGTCCGAATAGAGTTCTTGAGGATGGCATTCCACTTCTGCAGTAGTGCAGCCTCAAGTTCCCGGATGTTTCGCATCTGTTGTCGCCGCGAAAGACTTTGACCAATTTCGTCCCACAAGTGCTCCATGGGGGATACATCTGGCGACTGTGCTGGCCAATGAATAACCTGGATGTTTTGCTGGGCCAGATACTGCATCGAAAGTCTTGTTGTGTGTGCCCGTGCGTTGTCCTGTTGAAAAGTATGGACATCTTGGTGGTGATTAAAGAAAGATACGATGTGATTCTGAAGAATCTGCTCACGGTAATAAAGGGCATTAACTCTCCCTTAACAGACATGAAGGCAGTCCTGTGATTGTAGTTTAATTCACCCCAGACCATGACACTCCCACCACCCAAAGGTCTGTCTGAACCACACACCAATCTGCATAACGTTCACCACGTCTACGCCAAACACGTATTCGGCCGTCAGCATTACGTAGATGAAGACGTGACTCGTCAGTGACTACCACACCATGCCACTGTTGTAACCTTTACTGAAAAAGCCTGCTAGTCCATTGTATACGCTCATTACGGTGTCTGTCAGTCAGGATTGGTCCAAAGTAAGGACGTCGAGCATGGAAACCCGTAACGTGTAGACGGCGTCGCATGGAGTCAGCGCTGATGGCCCCCACGTCAACCTTGAACTAGTGCAGCAGTCTTGGCAGTTGGCAGTGTTCAATCACTGATATGGACAAGGTAAATATGGCGACCCTGATGGAGCGTCGTAACAAGTTGTTGCCAAGGTCATTGAAGGTCACGGGTGCTGCCTGTCTACTGATGTCGTCTATGAAGCCTACCGATGGTAGGGTGGCCAAATCCAAGTTGTCGAGCAATATCCCTGCTGCTGGTGCCAACCTGAATCATGCCTTGTGCACGTTCTCTTTCGTGAGGTGTTAACTTCGGCATCTCTGTCCTCTTTTCACAATCGTTAGTGAAGCAATGAGAATCGGTTCTCATACACCTGCTTTTAATGTCACAGTCAGTATGATTTCAGAATGAAATTCGCGCTATTTTCATGGCGTGGCTGCACGTTGATGCATTTTGGAATTAAGAGCCATACTGTGGACAGGAATTTGTTTCTAAAGCATTTTTTCAACTGGACATGCCCTTCGACTTCATGTTAGTTATATTCATTGATCATTGTCATGCTGAAATCCATCTTGATGAAAATATGCACAATTTTAGAGTGGTGCGTTTTCAATGATGTTCAGTATATGTATTAGCTAATTTATAAACCATTAACCCCAACAAAATATAATGCGCACATATCTTAAAAGCCAAAATTAAAACACATTATTTTTGTGAACAAAATGTCAATTGCCAATAACTTTATGGAATGCTTAAAACTGATCTCAACAGGAGCTCTGTACATAATTTTTGTATAAATGTCATGCAACAGAATACAAATGACATGTCTGTCTGTGTGACTGTATATCTGACATAGATACTTAAGTTGTTCTCAAGTTGTTGAAGTACTGTTATCCTTGACACAATTGCAGTAATTGTTGTACTATTCCCACTTTGGAAACGTTCTGGGAAAACTGGAGGCAGCAAATTGAACCAATTGTTGTCTGTATTCTCGAACATCTCTGCGGTTGTTCCAAAGGAAACGTCACTTGGACATCCATGCTGATACATTAATTCTGCCCCACTGCTGAGTGTGGGGATGATCTTGAGTTATTTTATAGGTAATTGTTATTTCCATGCCTGCATCATCCCTTTACATACTGAGGGAAAAAATAAGGGATCGCATGAAAGCACAAGTGTTCCTTTATTCTTTTCCCAGGTTTCTTCACAAGCTTTGTATAGCACAAATTGTGAAGAAACATGGAAAAAATAAAGAAACACTTGTGCTTTCATGCGATCCCTTA